CGCTTTACCATCTTCATTCATGCAACGACCAATAAGGCGGAAGAAGAGTAGCTATCCTCTCTAACAAGGATTCGAACCTCTAGTGGGTCGTGTGGTCAGATCTGGTACTGTTTACTACGGTGGAGGTTCGAGTCTTTGATAGGGAGAGTTGATTAAAAAAAAATACAGTGCTGATGCCTTACTGTTCATGAACTGTCTTGCATGACTTATTACTAATTTCTCTATTTTGTAATTAGTATGGCCGAGGTTCCAGGATAGGGTGATTATAAATATAGTACTAATTTCTCTATTCTATAATTAGCATGGCCGAGGTTCTTAGAATTATAAACATATGCATATACTTTCATATGATGCCTTACTGTTCATGAACTATGTTTTGCAAGGCTTAGCACTAATTCCTCTATTCTATAATTAGCATGGCCGAGGTTCCAGGCAAAGGTGATTATAAACACATATAGTTTTCATAGTGTTGATGCCTTACTGTTCATGAACTTTGATTTCCAGGACATCTATGGTTTCTGCGGGACCCGTTCTTGACGTTTCACCGACGCGAACTACAAGGTTTTCGGGAGAGTTTCTGTAAAGATGTGAATGATTAGAAATTATGGAGTAAGATTGTCTTATAGCAGAATTATTTTTCAGTATTAAGATAACAGTGACTTGTGAGTAATAATCATGAACACAAAGACAGCACATCACAGACACAGAATCACAAAAACAGACACAGAGACACGCACACCACATCAGACACACAAAACTGTCACAATAATAATAATAATAATAATAATAATAATAATAATAATAATACACACAAGGAAACACCCAAGACACACACACAGACACGGACACACTTACGCAAGAGAAAAAAAAAATCACGTCACAGACACAAACGTACACTCAATATAAGATAAAATGACAAAAAGAAAACACATGTCAACATGCACAATCAGACAGAGGCACATAACACACCCAATCACACACTGACATACCCATCAACGCAGTGGGCGGCCGTGAGAATATATCGATCGTTGATGATGGAACCGCCACAGAAAACGAAACCGTCGTATTTCTGAGCCAAGCCAATCTGCCAGGGATACTTCGCTATGTCTGTAACATCCCCTCCGACGATTTTTGTATTGAACCGCAAACCACAACCTAAGGGAAAAGAAATGGTAAGTTTGAGATTTTGAGAAAAAGGAATTACGGTATAATACGATAGCAATACATGTATTTTGTTTCTTTCTCGTTCTCTTTCTTTATTTATTTGTTTATTCTTTCTTCCTTTTCTTCTACTCTCTCTCTCCCTCCCTCTCCCTCTCTCCTTCCCTCACCCTCTCCTTCTTTTACTGTCTCCTTCTCTCCCCCCTCTCCTTCCCCTCCTCCCCATCCCTTTCGTTTCCTCCCTCACATACAAACAGACACGATACTCACTGCATGTGCTCTTCTGAATGAGGCTGGGATTGGCGGCGTGGAATACAGCTCCGTTCAGCTTCAGAGACACCGTGCTATTGAGCTCTTCGTCGGGAACTGCAAAGAATTAAGGTCGAAGGTTAAGGTCAAAGTGTGGAGGTCATTTATGATAGAGACGTGTTCCAGTTATGCAGTATGTGGGTGCATTACCTCTGTGTATGTCTTGTGGGTTCATTACCTCTGTGTATGTCTTGTGGGTTCATTACCTCTGTGTATGTCTTGTGGGTTCATTACCTCTGTGTATGTCTTGTGGGTTCATTACCTCTGTGTATGTCTTGTGGGTGTATATATGTGTGCGTTGTTTCCTATTGGGTGGTTCAACGTTTTAAACATTCACAAGAGCGTACGGAGCACGTGCTAGAGGGGAGGGGGTTAAACCCGCTCGTACTTTTTAAAAAGTCTATGGAAATATCGATGTCAGATCGTGTGTCATCATTTTTCGGTGTCCACTTTTCGGGGGGAGGGGGAGGGGGTCAGCAATAAGAATGCTCTTTGTACGCTTGTCAAAATGTTGAACCACCCGTCAGATGGCTGTGTTTCTTTATTTAGATTTGTAGATTGGGTTAAGTAACGTAAATATTCGAATGAAATGAATGAAAGAATACAAAAGGTAAATTTGCGACGTCCATTTAGATAAACAAATGGGTAAAGCGTTAGGCTGACCCATCTGTTATAAACAAGCAAGCAGAGAAAGCAAAACAAGCAAGTATCTCGTATAACCTACTTATACGTTGAAAATTTAACCGGAAGGCAGAAAACCTCATAAAACTGTTGTGTCATCTAACGGTTAACTGAATTTAAAGTGTCTGCCGGGAAGTTCGACAAGAAGGTGTAAATGCAAGCGCAACTGATGATGAAAATATGAATATATAATGGTAAACAGGTTGACAGATAAACACGAGTGAAATACAGAGAAAACAGTTGTGTTAAATTATCCACAGAAAGAGTAGGAATTATTTGCACGTATGATTAGTTGTTTGCCCTTTTCTCTTTTGTGTGAGTGGATTACCTTTCTAGTGCTGAACCACTAATCAGGTATGTATGAAGAGATGTATGCAGTCATTTGGAACAATGAGTGGAACAAAAGAAAAATGGAAAAAAGAAAAATAAAGTGTTTTGGCTGAAAGACCCTCTTTCCGCAGACCCTTAGCACCACCCACCCAATATAGCAATGACCGACTACCGGAAAAGGTCACGGGGCCACTCCGGGGTCATCCCCTGAAGAGTTCTGGGCGGTCGTCGGCGTCCTACGCCTGGCAGTCGGACCCGCAGGACAATGGTAGGCCCGGGATGCCTTCCCTCCACCGCCACACGGTTCTGCAGATCCGGGGTGACCGGATGTGGTCCTGCAGGGCCCCCGGTGCCGGCGGACCACGCCCAGCGACCTCAGTTCTCGGGGGGCCCCGTGACCTTCGTCGAGTGGTGGTGCGTGAGGTCGACACGATGGTTATGGGGTAGCCGGACTCGATCGCAGCTAGAGATTGGCTAGTGGCTAGGACTCGAGCTTCCGTGGCAGAGAGAATTTGTGGCGGTCGTTTGTACAGCTCTTCAACGGGGAGCTGTCTATCAAACACGTCAGACTTAAGCTGTTCTGCTCTCGCGCTTTTCTAAGGTGTTATGGGGCGGTATGCGCTCCCGACGTTCCGCGGCTGGGGAGTAGTGGAGTAGTGCTTTTTGTCTCGAGGTACGCCGGTCTCAATTCCTACGCGCGTCGAGACGGAAGTGCGCTCACCTATGGAGAGACCGGGTTATCCGCACGTAGGGATGTGTGCTCTTTCGGATGAGGCACGGGTAGGCGCGCCTCGCGGGCAATGGGCAGCTGGCAGTCCGATTTCTATCAGGCGCTCATCTCAGAGAGCTGATACCGGGCCTTATCTTTTTCACCACAGGCTCGAGGGGAAAGCGGCTGGAAAACGCGGTGACACCTCACAGACGGCTCTGCACTTGCTGGTTGTTTGCCGTCGGTCCGTCAAACAGCAGGGTTGAATTTCAAGAGCTGTCATACCACTGTGCCTTCTTCATTGCTAATTGTTCCGTGTTGTGGAAGCAGTTCCTTCTTGAACACCTCTGCAGCGTAGCCTGTGGTTGTGTGACGGTCTCTTGACTTGCTTATAACTGTCTGTTCCCATCGAATACCCTCGCCTGTGGTTAATCTTGGCTACAGTTCATACGTCTTGCTGAGTTTATGGTCACATTAGGTTATAATGGTCTCACGTTTCATCCGATCTGTCTTCTTTTATCCCTAGCAGAGTGTTCGATCCGAAGCATGCGCCGTCCCAATCTAGTGGCACACCTCTTCTGTCGGTGGTGACACTCATACGCGCTGCTTCGTGCTTGCCGCGCGATCCTTTGACCTGTACATGATCTTCTAGGTCTTAATAAGATGGGCTCGTTGATGTGGACAGACTTGCTGTATCACCAACAGTTACTGTATGAAAGGCAGTCATTTCTGCTACGCTTTTCGGCGGGTTTAATCCTGTGTTTGTCTAAAACTGTTTTGATTATGTTCAAGCTAGCGCTTAGTAGTCTAGCATATGTGGCGACCTATTTGTCTCTTGTGCTTACTCTCTCTGGCTTTGGTTTTCCGCTTGATCTATGTTCGATACAACTGATCTGTCTGTAACGGACCTTAACCTCTTGTCTGATCTCGTCATTTGTGTATAGTTATACATGATTGTTACAGTTCGTTGATGCTTCGTCGTGCATAAGCTAGATTTGAAACTCTCTTGGCTCGTATTCTGATTACGTTCATATCTCGGGTCTCTGAAAACAATGCGATCTGGTTATGGAACGTTTGTCCTTTACATGCAATTGGCTACTAAGATAATGAATAGGAATGGATTTTCTACCTTTTCAGAGTCAACGTCGGATTTGCTAAGGTCGCCGCCGGTTCCGTCGGTGTCGCTCTCGGACTGATTAGTCTTTTCATCTTTGGTGAAATCTGAGAAGAGGTCTGCCATTGCTAATTCAAGAGCAAGATGAGCTTGCTGCTCGGCTAGCATAGCCTGCTTCTCCTTCTCTTCTTTGAGCTTGAACTCTTCCTCCTTCTGAAGCAGGAACTCATCCACAAGGAATGTCGTGTTCAACTCAGAAGATGTCTCTGTCGTTTCTAGGACATCGGGGATCGTGAGACTTTAATCCGACCGAAGTCGTCGTCTCTGTTTTGCGGATTTTCTGTGGCTTCTTCTTGGCCCTGGGCTGAACTCTGTGTTGGATTTGCTACGCTGGCTTCAATCAGAGCGTCCTCTTCCGTTTTTGTTGGCTTTTGAAATTCCACTTACTTCACTCTGAACAGTGCCTTGTACTTCACTGGTGGACTCAATAGCCGCTTCAGTGATAATATCGCTGCCCTGAGAGACACTGGGGACGTCACTGTAGTAGAAACGCTCTCTGGCATCAGTGAATGTGAGTAGGACTGACAATTGTGGGCGCATCTTGCGTGACTTCGGTGAGTTGAGTCACACCCAGACCGACATCAGCAGCTTGTGTTGCACTTGTAACTGAAGACTCATCTCTAACATTCTCTGCCTGATCCTCGTCAGCAGCAGTGAAGAGCGAATCGCTAAATTGCTCAGCGATTTGTTCTGGAGCGCCCGATGAGTCATGGCCGGGGCGATGTAGGTCACTGGGTGCAAGGGGCGCCGCGTGCGGACTTCCTAGTTGCAAACCCGTCGCTGCATGCACGGAGGGGTCCTCTTGTGGGACCCTGTGGTCGACATTAGCCCACGAATTGAGGGGCGGGAAGGCCGGTGGTTCGAAAATGATTTGATCTTCGTATTGATAAACGCCTCCTTCTGGGGTCGCTGACTCAATGGGATCACCATCTACGTACAGGTTGAAATTCCCAGTATTCGTCGTGGACTCGTCGTAGGGTTCAGTGTCCTGTGGGACTTTGTGCATCACAGACACGCCGGCAAACCCGCTTTCGCTCAGGACGGGAGGGACGTCCTCCTGGGCGAGCGGTGCAGGATGGGGAGGCATCGACGGGCGCTCGGTCATTCAACTTCACGCCGGCGTATTTCTGGTTCAGGGTCGTCACGATGTTGTGGATCTTCTGCGAGACGTGGGCGGCGTCTGGGGTCTGGACGGCGTAGTACAGGGACCCGTGGGCGCTGGGAAGAACGTCCTGGTTTTCCCAGTCCCAGCTCTGGGATGTGGGATATACGTCGATGTTCAGATTGCCATTTTCATCTTTGATGAATCCATATTGATTGGTGATATCCAGTATGTGTTATTGTTAGATAATTTGAAGCCTGAGTGTCTGGCTTTCAGCGGTCTTCGGTCGGCGGGCTCTGGATGGAGATTCACGTGCCTCGGTCTCCTGGCGCCCAGCTTTTGATTTCGGCTCTCATATCAGTTTGTCTGGCGGCTCTCTTATGCCGTTTGTTCAGTTGACTTCTTGTCAGAGACTTCTAACGACGAGGGTCTTACCCTCGCCGATGGTACATGTCAAGAGGAGGGACTGTTGTACTCACCAGGCTAACTGCTGGTCCATCAGCAATGATGGTATGTTTGCCTTACCTGTGCTGTTATTGGACACCTACTTACGCTCTCCTGCGGAGTCACGGACACAACTCCCAGATCCAGTCTCACGTTACGCGCTGTGAACTGCCACACGCCCTCGGCGTTTGCCGCATTTCGGGCATGGCTCTATTCTTCTCTGGTTCGGTTGGGTGAATTCGGATACAATGGCTGATTGTCCGAAGAGTTCGCCTTAGTTGGGTAATATCCGTCTAGAAATAGCGGTTTTCTTTTCCCACCAGCGACTTTATGTGTTATTTGTGCGCATAGTATATCATTTTCTCCTTTCTTTTTTTTTTTTCCGCCTTTATTTTTCTTTCCCTTTTTTTTTTGTTCTTTTTTTCTTCGGTTGGCGGACTCCTCCATAGTCTTTTAAAGGTTAGTAACTTGCTAGGCATACTACTTCTTTTAGATAATACGAGAGTCTCTAACTCCATGGTTGTTTTCTTCACTTTTTCTTTTCTTGCGACAGCTCGGGTTCACTTGGCTAATGCTGGTCCGTCGTTGTTTGGTGGGCTGGTTTGATGAAATTAACATTCCAAAGTCAGTGATATGATGGTATGCATACTAGTAACAGTTTACGTTAGTGAGTAGAATAAAAAAGATACATTTAACATGCCATAAAGTACATGATGGTAATCAAGAGAGTAAAGCATATTCCAATGCAACAAACGTTTGGAGCACCGGGGAGCATCATTGATAAGAGAGAGAGCGGTTGACACGCACGGATCGAACTTG